GTAGATTTGGATGCTCTTGTACTTATTGTACATAACATTTTGAACAACATTTACTTGTGGTATTACTACTTTCACAGAATTTTTGAATTTTTTATTTGCACAAACAAAAGAAATTTCTACAGGAAGAAGAAGAAAAGCCTGACTGGTTGTATCATATTGATCGTACTGACCAGCTCTGCCTGCAGAGAGCACGGAGTTGATGTCGTGCTGAGATTTGGGTGAATTCCCCATGTTTGGAGGATCATGCTCATCCATCATAGACAGTATATACTCTCTCTCCTTATATATGTGTGTGTGTGTGTAAATGAATTCAAGTAAATTCCGCCTCATACAGAAGCAGATGCTTCGACTACATCCACAGTTTGAGCACAGACGGACTGAAAACTGCCAAATTAAAAAGTAACGCGGTTAAACATTGAAAGATTCAAACAGTTAAATTATACATAAATAATTGGAGTCCTTTTCAGACTTTGTCTACAAGATGTTAAAGACAAAGCCAACTGAGCTCTGTGAGAGCGTGGACCACTGACCTTTGACCTTGGACGTTCTGATGGAGGGTCATGGTGACTCTGGGAGCTTAGTACAAAATAAGGCCTGAAATGAGCTGGAATGTTTCCTTCCTTGAATAATAACTTACAAATGAAAGTGCAAGTCAAGGACCTCAGTACTTCTTCCACCAACTATACAGTACTGACCAAATACTGAAGTGAATCCAGTTACGGATGATGTGCACGCTGTTGTGATCAGACTTAACGAACAGCAGGAACTTTTTTTGCCATCGACGTGTTGGGAAGGTTACTTTCAGAAAGGTGACAGATTACTACTTACCCTGTTAAAAATGTAATGAATAATGTAATTTTTAATTACTTCACTGAGTAATGTAACTTATTAGTTAGATTTTTTTTATTGCTTTCCCAAAATGTTTTAAACTGGACAATAAAGCTGAGAGTTTAAACCAGGCAGCGTCGACCTGTTCAAGTTTTATTAAAGCTTCTTCAGCGTCACTTCAGTTACATCATATATTATTGTGGGAACACGGAGCCTAATGGGGGGGGGCACCGAGCCAGATCCTGGCCTAAGTTCCTAATGTGTATGTAGCTGGGGAGGACAGAGTGTACCCTGTTGGCTTTTGAAGTGTTGTTGTGAATCAGGTGCACGGTTTTGCTTCACACATGTCCACAGTCACAGACAGGTGTGACAGCCCCGCCCCCTCTCAACCTGTCACACCTGTCCGGACAGATGGCAATCAGCCTCTTCAGAGGAAACTGCAGCAGGCAGGCAAACTCCGGCTCTCCTGCTGTGTGCGTCTCAGGACCTGTTGACTTGTGTTTGTCTTTTCTCAGTTTAATCTATTTGTGTCAGAGGTCAGCTGTTTTTATGATTCACCTGGTCCCTCTCTGCCGAACCGTTGGCCTGAGTTTACCTGTCAGGTTGAGTTTCAGGTCACTGACACTGATCTGATCAGAGATTTTTGATCTTTGGTTGTAAAATGTCTGATGCACTTTGGTGTTAGAAATGTTTGCTTCCTCTTTAGGCTTTTAGTTTCTGTGTCTGTTTAGTCGAACTGCACAGGGGGCTACGGGTTTAGGTTCACTTAGCATTTAACGGCTGCATTTTGCATTAGAACGGGTCCTGAGTGACATGTGAACACACAGACGTGAAGCTCATGTTGATCTGATTCAGTGCGACTTCCCTGAGGATCACATCAGCTCAGTAAACCTCCATACACCTAGTGAGAAGCCAGAGGAGCAGAGGTGGCAGAACCTGCCTGAGAGCCCTCCTGTTTCTACGTGTCCTTCAGCCTCAGTGATCCAGTGACGGTTGTGTCTAAGTCCATGGTGACGCTGCACACAACAGCTGCTCGCTGGTGGGGACATTGACTACATGGGAAAGGTCGACTCCATTATATCTGAAGGGAGGTGTCAGACTTTGAACCCCTTTGTATAGAAAAAGCTCATTTGCGTTGATGGTTCTGGTTCTTTAAAGAACCCTTTTGTCAAAAAAGTCGACATTTGACAAACCCTTATTTTCACATTGATACATTAGCAGAAGATGTGAAAATCGATCGGTGAGCTTCCACGTTTGTTTTCCTAATAGTCGTACTGAGAACACAGCTTTGTTTCTGCATCTTGAGATCTGAACAGACCTTTGTTGTTTCCTTTCTGCTGCATGTGATCACAGCTGAAGCCAATAATCCAGTTGTATTGTGTTCCTGAATAAGAGTTGTCTTGTCTGTGTTGCCCTGCTGATGCTTTATTTATTTTTTTGCATTGTGTGACTTTGTTCTTAAACATAATCTTTAGCTTCCATTTTTAAAGACCTGTGTGTACTTCATTATCCAGAAATGCCCTGTTCCACTGTGCAGCTGTGAAACATCAGTGAACTAACGAAGCTGTGGTTTCCTGCGCAGCAGTGGTGTGACGATGGCGGAGGCCCCAGAGCTGTTCTCCGAGCAGGAGCTAACCTGTTCCATCTGTCTGGACCTGTTCAGCGAACCTGTGTCGACTCCCTGTGGACACAATTTCTGCCAGGTAACCTTCACACACATGCACACACAACACCCAAGGCCACAGCTCGGAGCCATGAGGGTTTGTGTCCAGGTGCAGTCATAGCTATGGCTGACAATGCACAGGGCAAACGTGCTGCCATTAGACACCTTCAGTTTGCGTTCTGTGGTACCTGGATTGATACAGTGATTTATTTATTGATGTGGTTCTTCTCCTTTCATTCAAACACTCATCTCAGCACATGTTTCAGCTTCTTCAGTGTGCAGGCGTCCTTCACTTTCATGTTGAGTCCTTTGTGACTTTTCATCAGCACCAAGTGTTGATCAGCTGGTCAGGAAGTACAGGTGAACCAGGTGGGTACCTGGAGTCAGAGAAGAGCTGTCTCCTGGGAACCTCACAAGTGTTGGACACTAGAGAGGCTTTTCCATAATAGGAACCCGTTGACACGCGTCGCGCTGAGTGACGCTCCTCACTGGTTCTGTGTTTGTCGCCTCGGTGCTCCACACATATCTGGGATCTGCTCACAAAACCTGCTTATGGTCCCAGAGATCCATAGTGGGTGGTCCAGAGGACTCCTGACTACAGGAACGTACTGAACTGTAACTGAACCTGCAGCTGTTGTTGCCACCATCTCCGCCCACTTTGAAGGCCAGTTCCCGGAACTGTGTTCCCACACACCCCCAGCAGGTGGTCCCAAATCAAGCTCCAGATGTTTCCCAAGTTGTGCAACACACTGGAACCGACCTCCTTTGCCCAGCAAGGTGGAAGAGCTGCAGGTCACATGTCAATGACTTCCTGTTGTGTAGAAGCCGCTCAGTCGGCTGTTTTAAACATCTAGTGGCATTGAGTTAAAGAAGGTCCAGTCAGCTCATTAACAACCCAGTAACAGTGGACATGATGCACAACTGGGAAAAATCCAGTTGGCAGCTCTGATGAACTGCAATATAATCTGAGCTGTCAAAATTATTCCTCAAACCAAAACACTCAGACCCAGTTCGTCTGTCAGGGTTTTATCCACTTGAAGTCAACAGCTGAAGCCGGGCCAGTGCATGTGAACCTGGAGCTCTCTGTCTGTCCTGTCCAACATGAATATTTTAGTTTCCTGTATAAAATCTCTTCATAAAGCATCAAATGTTTGAAATGATGTCTGATTTAATTTGACTTTCTTCCTCCTAAAGGTTAAAAACAGGATCACTTTTACTCTGTGCTTTGTAAAATGTAACAAGGAAACTCAGGGAAACTTCCTGTCTGAACCTCCTCCTGCTGCTTCTTCTTCTGTTGTTTTTCAGGCATGTATTGGCGGTTACTGGGCGTCCAGTGCAGTCTGTTCCTGTCCTCTGTGTAAACGTCAGTTTGATGAGCGTCCCCAGCTCTGCGTCAACAAGGTCTTCGCTCTCATCGCAGATAAATACAAATTGGCTCATTATGGACCCGGAGGGTTACCGACACTGGTCAGGAATGGGCCCCCAGCCCCAGTGGGCGCCATGTCGACTGTCACAAACACCGGTGGCACCAACCCGTTCTTGGCAGCGTCAGATGAGGAGGTGGTGTGGTGTGACATCTGTACAGGTGTGAAACAGCCGGCAGTCAGTTCCTGTCTCACCTGCACCGCCTCATACTGTACTGAGCATGTGCGTCCACATCAGACCACACCCTTCTACTCCAAACACCCACTGATGGACCCTGTGGAAGCCCTCAGGGGACGCACCTGCTCCATCCACCGCCGCCTGCTGGAGGTGAGAGGAAATGCATACTTATTCCGGTGCTTTGATTGGTCGGTGTTCTGTCCTCTGTAGGCAGACAGCAAGAACTGCACAGGCTGTTTTTATTTAACCCCAGAAATCAACTAACTGCAGATCCTGTCTTCAGATCATCTTCTGCAGAAGCAACCAATAAACGGTGTCCCCTCTGTTTTCACATCCACTGTAACGGGTTTGTTTAGGAAGATTCACTTTGGGTTGGTTGTAGTTTGCAGCTTATAGGAAGTGCTTCTCTGTTGAGATCAGCTGGTATCTGTCCCACTGCTGTCAATATTTGCACTCAGGTGTCAGTTTATTAGGAACCTTTGTGTCAGACTAAGTCAGTCTAATCCAACACTGCTCCTTTGTGAAGGTGGTGGTGATCAGTTTGTGTTAGGTCTGTTTCACAGTGGTGCTGGTTCACCTGTGTGGTCACTGTGTAGGCTGCAGGTTGTGCTGCTTCTGGTGTGTCAATGAAACGTATATCACTGAGGCTAGGCCAAATAACAGACTGTGTCTCTGTGTAAGCTGTGTTTCTGAAAGGCCTCACTGGTTCCATACCTGTTTAAAAGAAGACATGCTTCGTTATATTGTACAGGTCTGTGATGTTCCACAGGGTTCAAGACTTGGGCCACTGCTGTTCTAGCTACACATGCTACCAATCAGCCAAATGATTTGACACTACAGTGTAAATGTTCAGTCACATGGATCAGCACCTGATAGTTTAAATAGTTTGTTTGGCCTAAAGCTGTTTGTTTTAATGTGTAATATCTGTTTGAAACTAACAGCAAACAACTTTGCAAAAGTATAGCTGCTGTTGTTGATAGTAAAAGTGGAATTCTTAGTGGAACGGCTGAGCAGACTTGAGGGGAAAAGCCTGAGCTGAGTTAAACCTCAGTGAACATATTACTGCATTTAGTTGTAGTGTTAGTGTAAAAATCAGCCACGGTGCAAAGAAATGTTGGAATTTTTATTAAGGAAAACACAACATTCTTGTTTTATGATCATTTTATTGGCTTCCTGACTGGTTCAGAGTCAGCCTGGACAGTTTATAAGGGCCTAGATGGTTTATGCCCTCTGTTCTCAGCTCTCCCCTGTCCTCTCCAGCACATAGCAACAACCTTCCAATGTTTTGATGTACACCGCTGCATGGAAGATGCTAAACGGAGTTTATAATTATTTCTGTGACAACACAGGCTGGACTGTTGTGGGCTGAATCTTTCTTGCACCAAAACATGTTGATGAGTTTAATGTTCTCCTGCTGACTTTGTCGTTTTTGACCTCCTGATGTGTTTACTTGTCCAGGTATTCTGCAGGACATGTCAGCGTTGTATCTGTGCCATCTGTGTCCTGGAGGAACATCGCATGCACAAAACTGTCTCGGTCCAGACCGAGAGAGTCAGTAAGCAGGTAGAAGCGATGGAAATCTTACTGTACACCTGCAGGACTCTGTGCGTTACTTATAGGTAGTATTGTCCTCATGAAAGAACATGTTCGGCCAGTAAACCCGACTCTGTCTCGTGTCTACCTGTGTGTTCAGAAAGAGGTAGCGAGGACGGAGCAGGAGATCCTGAACCGGATCAAAGCGAAGGACATTCACGTGACTGACCTGAAGAGGAAACTGGACGGAGTCAAGGTTGGACATCTTGCTGATCCTTCTAAACTCGGTCATTCCTCTTACTGATATCAATGTTCCTGCCTGAAACCAGCTTTGACATCCTGTTCATTGTGTCACATAGTTTTAGTTTTGGCCACAGTCGCGCTCCACCATTTTAGATTTTAGTCGCCAAAAACTCTGGATATTTTAGTGTCTGTTAAAAACCCATATGTTCATGTGTGAACGGAGGTGATCCTGGCGTTTCTGATACCTCCCTCAAACCATCCGCTCAGGTTGCCCATTCAGTTTGGACGTGTTCACGTTCATGCTAAGAGCACATGAGCTGTGAGACGTTTATTCATTACTTTTAGTTGTTTCTCCAGTTTATACTTGCAGTGATTTTGCCATCTTCTTATCAGAGATTCAACAATTTATCTACTGTTTAGAAAAATATTCCACAATCTTATACTTCCATGTATGTGTGTACTGTTCAGCTGTATCATTTAGATTAAATAAAGAAGTTTATGTAATTTACACATTTTCTGTATTTTCTTACATAGAAAGTTGTATTTGTGTGATTTAAAAAAAAAAAAAATTCTTTTTTTGTTCAGAACTACGCAGACCGAGAGCGAGGCGAGGTTGAACACCTACTGGACGAGGTGTCCGGGTTGTTGGACCGGATACGTTCTGACGTGGTGGGCGGGATCCAGAACCAGCTGGATGCTGTGATGTCAAAGGGGGAGGGGCTGGTGAGCCGGCTGGAGGCGGAACTTAGCCAGCTGATGGACAGGAGGGCCACACTGGAGGTCCAGGCCATCAGTCAGGATCACATCAGCTTCCTGCAGGTGAGAACTACACACCTGTAACCAGAGGATACGATGTCACTGATTGGGGGCGGGGCTTCAATCATTGCCTTCACGGCTCTACTGAAGATTGACTGAGGAGTCAAGTGGAGATGGTGGCTTTGTGTCGACCGACCAACCATGACTCTCCTCATGTTTTCTCCTGTGTCTCCCCCTCACTCACCGCTCCTTCCCTGTTGTCTCTCCTCAGAGTTTTGAGGAGGCCACTGCTCCGCTGGAGGAGGAGAAGGAGAAGGAGGTGGACGAGGACTCAGAGTTCTCACTCCACTTCCAGCTGGGAGGGGTGAAGAGCTGTCTGTCTGATGTGAGGGATAAGCTGGATGACATCAGGATGGGGGAGGTCCGCTCCAGAGGCGCCACAGGCTCCTGTGAGTTTACAGCAGATTGAAATGCGTTGGATGTTTACAGTGATCCATGAAGAAACTGAGGAAGACTTTAATTTATTCAGTTTGTGAACAAATGCTGGCACTAAGTGGAATAAAGAGGACAGAAAAGGCTTGACTCGGCACCTGCCCCAGAAGGTGATGGTGCACAGGGTGAAAGTAACAGCCCCCACATTGTCTCCTCAGCTCAGTGCTGGTCATTGACGCTGAACTGTCGAGTGCCGGCAGCAGTTTGAACCAGATGGCAGTAAACCACTGCCTGAGTCTTAGTTTATCTGTCAGCTGATCCAGGACTACTTCAACACCACCAGTCTCCGATGTGTTCTTCTGAGTAGACTTCAGACTGATGATCTAATTCTAAATTTTTTACACACTGATCCAGGAACTGTTGTTTGTTGGAATGTTTTTCCATAGGCTTGTTGAAGGCTGCAGTCGGAACGTGTTCAGCATCTAGGGATCTGTTTTCAGTGACAGCAGCAGCGGGAGCCTCTCAGAGGACCACTCCAGCCTGCAACGGGCTGGGTCACATGATCAGATAAAGGCCACATGATCAGATACACATGATCAGATAAAGGCCACATGATCAGATAAAGGCCACATGATCAGATAAAGGCCACATGATCAGATAAAGGTCACATGATCAGATAAAGGCCACAAAGCTAGCACTAGCATGCTAGTAAACTCACTTGAAGCCGACACTAGTGCTGGATTACAGTATCAGATTACTGACCAGGTTCAGCTCTGGGTCTGATGTGTAATCTTTAAGATTTTAAAATTGGAAATTATTAATTTGATAATTATATAATGTGCATGTTTTTCTTATACTGAATTAAATTGTCTTTTTTACAATTACTTGGGAATAAATGGTTCAAAATCCTGATAGCTAATACAACTATGATATGAACAGTATCAGAAATGAACCGATAAAGTTGGGGAATGTCACAGACAAAATCATTTGTCCTAATTTAATTGATTCACAAGTGACTTCGCTGTGTGTTCTTATGGATCGTGTCCTGTGTGGTCTGAAAGTGAGTTACTGTAGCACCAAATATGTTGCAGGTCTGCAAGTGCAGCTAGCTGGGCTAGGCTAACAAAAGCTAGCTGATAAATCACCTTGATAAATCATGCGACCGACCATTTGCAGGCTGTTATGATCCTCGGAGTCCCCCCAGCGGCAGCTGGTGGTGTTCAAAGTGTTGGTGACTGGTCTGCAGTCCACTTAGTGCATCTGGTAGTTTACTGGTTACAGTGACAATAAATACGTCGCTCAGCCTCACTCCACTTTCTACTCCTGTTTATTTTCTTTCTTACACAAATGTATTTTGTACCTGACAAACAGTAACAGACTTCAGTAACCTGTTAGTCCAGACACTGGATCAGAGGGCGTCTGTCCACAGACCTCACTCACCTATTGCCACATGATAAAAACGTTGTTCACGTCTGTCTTATGAGACAATTTGCTTATTTTAAACAGGTCCTTCTCATGTTTTACCAAACTATTCAGGAACACAGCACCTTTTTTTTATCTGGTTATATCTCCAGACTTTATTTCACAAAATCTATGCGTCTCTTGTCTTGTTCGAACAACTGACTGACCACAGTAAGGATTTTGGTATTTATGACAAACTGAGGACCCAGTAGTGGTGATAGTCTGCAGTGCTGACCGCTGACCTCCTGTGTTTTGTGTTTCAGTTTCCTCTGGTGACTTGATGGCGGCTGAGAGCATGCTCAGTCTGAGAGGAAGCAGCCCCAATCTGAGAGGAAGCAGCCCCAGCCTGAGGAAGAGTCAGTGGTCTCTAAAAGGTGAGAGACTGATAACTATCACGTTTTCAGGGGTTCTTCATCCCAGTGTTAGAACTACAGCGGAGCAAGGGGATTAGCTCCTCCAGAAGCAAAATGTCAGGTTTAAGGGGATCTCGCACACACAACCAATAGCAGGACTAATAGCACAATAAATGTTAAAGGAAATTCATAAAATCAGTTATTTTAAATATATGTGCACAGCTCTGCTGTGGTCAGTGTACCTGACCAATAATGCTCTAACATGATGGATGTTGTTTTATGCACATACTGTATGTGTAATTATTGTGCACAGATTTGGTGTCAAATCAGTGATTCTCAATGACCTGTGCGGAATCAGCGCTGTTGCGAGTATTTAATGATCTTGTGTTTACTGTGGATGAAGGTAATACTGCCATTCTGATTCTCCTAGATCTTTCAGCTGTTTTTGACACAGTAGACCATCGTATTTTGTTGTCCCGTCTGCAGCACTCTGTAGGACTTCATGGTAATGTTCTTAAATGGTTTGAATCATATTTGTCTGATAGGAGTTTTGCTGTACATATTGATGAGTTCTCTTCTTCTGTTGTTCCTTTGAACTGTGGTGTGCCTCAGGGATCCATCTTGGGGCCAGTTCTCTTTTCTTTGTATTTACTTCCCCTTGGATCGATTTTTATGAAATATGGGTTGTCTTTTCATTGTTATGCGGATGATATTCAAATTTATTTGCCATTGAATGTCAATAAGAGCAACTCATTTCAGACCTTGAGGGATTGCTTGAGGGACATTAAGGCATGGTTTTCACATAACTTCTTACATATTAATGAAAGTAAGACGGAATGTGTTGTAATTGGTAACTCTGGTGCCACTGGTTCTGACATTCCTAGCTTTTTGGGATCCTACCTGAGGCCTCATGTGAGAAATCTTGGGGTAGTTTCTGATGGTGCTCTTAAGCTGGACGAACAGATAAAGTCTGTAGTTAAAGCCAGTTTTTTTCAATTGAGACTTTTGGCTAAGGTTAAACACTTTCTTTCTTTTAGTGATTTTGAAAAGGCAATTCATGCCTTTATTAGCACTAGACTGGATTATTGTAATGCACTGTATACTGGCATTTCTCAAGCCTTAATGTCCCGACTACAGTTGGTCCAGAATGCAGCAGCTCGTCTTTTAACTAATACGCGGCGCCATGAGCATATCACTCCAGTCCTTGCCTCTCTACATTGGCTTCCTGTTCGTTTTCGGATTGATTTTAAA